GAGTCCCGGAAGAGAATCCATTCACACATTGTATTCTTCACAGAGACACACGGGACCGTCAGACTGACGCACCCAGGAGGAGAAACGAATAACACAATATCCGTCAGATAGCAGTTTTTGATAACACGATTACAAAGATGATGTTGTGGAGAAAAAAAGAACACCCAACGAAATAAGAGTGAAGTCAATTCCATGTATTTACAATTATACGTTCTCCAGAGACAGCACGACAGAATCGACTTAACTCTAGACAATGAGATAAGGACATCCAACTGCATGAAGTATAAAGAAGACGATTACGCCACGTTAGACTGACATAGCTATAGATGACGACAAAAGTAAAGAACTCGAAAGAAATCATATGAGTGTTTCAGTCAAAAACGCATCCCGTCCAACGTAAGGACAACGTAAGATCACAATTAGTCGCTTTTTACACGAACCATACTACAAAACGGAAGATGGACATAACTATGGATCATGAGAAAAACAATTATCATGGAAGTTATGGGAAGACGATCATTTACGAGACAGGTTTTCCAACAACACAACGCAAGGTCGAGAAATTATAACCATAGATGATGAGAAAATTATGTAAGAGAGGACGATTATTTTGAGAAACATGTTTCCAATTACAGAAAGCAAGGTCTGCAAAATCATAGAAGATGGAAAAAAAGAACTCCCAAGGAAATGGTGTGCCTGTTTGAGTAAAGAGAAGCACATCGACATAATTGGCGATCACTTATTGTAGTTAGGAAAAACAAGACAAACAAAAACACAAATAGAAACAACAGACGGAAAAGAAAAAAAAGTAGGACCTACCAGTGGCTCCCCTCCAACCTAGTCCCACAAAGAAATAGTTGCGAGAAGTCAATTATTAACTAGATGTATAGAAACGTTTTCCGAAAACTGAACGGAAGACCGACATGATAACGATAACAGAGCGGTTCTTCGTATCACTGCCAGCTGCCTCGCTCACTCACTCGCTCACTCACTCACGCACGCACTCACACGCGCACTATTACGGCAGTCGGCAAAAGGTGACGCATTCAGCCATGAATAACGGGGCAAGCCGGCCTGAGATGACGAATGATGAGCACAGCGGAACACTCACACACTCACGCACTCACTCGCACACACACACACACTCACAGTCTCACGCACTCACTCACAAACACAAACACGCCAAACACACACTCGTACGCGCGCACGCACACACACACTCACACACACACGCTCTCTCTCTTTCTCACACACACACACACACACACACACACACACACACACACACACAAGAGAGAGAGAGAGAGAGAGAGAGAGAGAGAGAGAGAGAGAGAGAAAGATAGGCGGGAGAGGGGGTAGAGAGAGAGAGAAAGAGAG